TGGAGTCAGCTGTCTTAACCGTGGCTTGTGTATTGCAAACACATACCAGCTTCATCACTGTGTCTGTCACGCGACTCTGTTCCCCTTTCGGGCTCTGTCTTTACATTTATTTTGAAAGCTGACGCTCGCGATTATGGTAAGGGTCCTTACATTTCCGACTAGTGCTTGCGGTGTTCGGCCAATCACAATGCACTGGGTCAGTTGGCCAATCAGAGCAGACTGCGCTTGTCGGAAGGAGGGACTTTGTAGAAAACGAAGCGTTTGAGAGAGGCGGGGCATAGAGGAACTACAATAATGTACAGTATTTGAAAAATAATGTGTTTTTTAAACATTAAAGCATGTCAACCTATTCTGTTACACCAAATACACAAAATAATGATCTTTAAAAAAGCATCATATGACCCCTTTAATTCAGCGCTTGCAGCGCAGCCAAAATAGACTCGGTGCGTAAACGATCGCTGCACTGCTGCAGACGCCGCACCTGGAACGCACTGACGGACCGCAACCGCGTGCAGTGTGAAAGCTCTAATCCGTTAACATGGGTGCGTAAAGCAACGCACACGCACTGCAGACGGAGTATGTGTGAAACAGGCGTGACAGGTCTGAAACGTCGTGAGGGTGAGTAATTAATGACAGAATTTTAATTTTTGGGAGAACTAACACGTTAAGGTTTCTTAGGGAAAAATGTCATTATTAAAATGATTATGACATTATGAAATAAATCTTTATGTGTACTCGCACTTTCTTGGTCAGACTTTACGCCATTGGGTCAGAAGAAATCGCACGCCACCCCTCCGAATTCACCGGATCACAGGGGGCGTGGCTGCAGTCAGAGTAAAGGGTGTTGAGTGGGCGTGGCCGTCCAGTTTTCTTTGCTCTGGCATCTAGAGAGAGAAGAGAGAGGGCGCCTGTTCATCGCGGTCCATCCAATGGTGAGGAGCTGACAGAGTCGCTATGGTGACGAGATTGTTTCGACAGAGGCTGTGATGGGTTGACAGGTGCGTGACAGTCGCGTCTGTGCAAGCATGTACGCCAAAGGCAAGAACAGCGTGCCATCGGATAGTCAAGCCCGAGAAAAGTAAGTTATATTGATCAGGAGGTGGAGGAGGAATTCTCGCGATCACATCTGCAGTCGCGCACACACACACACACACAGTAAGACAGCTGCTGTCGCATGTACTACTGTATGCTTCGCTCCTCAAGTTACGTGCTTTCTGCATTATGAGAAATATTATTAGATCACTCAGTGAATCGTGTGGTCATGTAGTATGATTATCAATAATAATTTAGTATCCTCCATCGTTCTTGAGCAGTCAAGGGCAGAATCTTTCTTTAACAGCACGTAATTAACTAACTCAGATAGTTTGCTTCCTTGTCCCTTTGTAACTCAGTGTTTTATGATTTTACATTGAGTGACATTACCAGCTCTCCATCTTAATGTCTGTTGGCTGTTTTTCCTTGTCTTAGACGTTTTGACTGATCGCTAAACAAAACAAGCTTGTTGTGTTATGTTGTTCTGAGCCTGAAGGTGTTTTAAGCTTTAATCATAAGGATGTTCAAACCATTTCACAGTAATAGGGCGGTTGACAAAATAGTTTGGACAACTTTATTCTCAAAATCAAGATTTTATGCTTAAATGCATATGAATTTCTAAATATTTTTTGTTTTGTTTTTGATGCTTTGACCATTTATTTTATATTTTCAATATCTGTTTAAAGGTTATCCTCTTTTTGCTCACCACTTCAATAGTTTTATGATGTTATAGTTTTTCTTAAGGTGCACTTAGTATTTTTTTAATAAAAAATGTTTTTATAATTTTTTTTTTTCATTCAAATGAGATGAAAACATTCTATGTAAGTACAGTTTAGAAGTTGAATAATATAACTGGATTTAAAAAAAGGGAAAAAAAGAAACGTGAATTATAGTCAAAGCAAACCTTGTATATTGAATAGCGATCTTAAAGGGTTAGTTCACCCAAATAATGAAAATTAGCCCATGAATTACTCACCCTCAAGGCGTATATGACTTTCTTCTTTCAGATGAATCCAGTCGGAGTTATATAAAAAATTGTCTTTGATCTTCCAAGCTGTTTAATGGCAGTCAGCAGGTGTTGCAGTTCATCAGTCCAAAAGAAGTGAAATAAAGCGCATCCATCCATAATAAAAAGTGCCTCACACGGTTCCGGGGGGTGAACAAAAGTCCTCCTGTAGCGAATCGATGCGTTTTTGTAAGAAAAATAACCATATTCAAAACATAATAATCAATTGAATCTAGCTTGCGCTCACTGTTGTACACGGAAGCAGCTCCGGGCAGATGGCGTAGGACGTCGGCGTTGCGCATGCGCCGCTCAGAAGTGACAAGCACGGAAGCGCAGGGGAGAGATCAAAACAAAACAACAGTGGATGCGCTTTATTTAACTTCTTTTGGACTGATGAACTGCAACACCCACTGACTGCCATTAAACAGCTTGGAAGATCAAAGACTATTTTTAATATAAGTCTGATTGGATTCATCTGAAAGAAGGAAGTCATATACGCCTAGGATGGCTTGAGGGTGAGTAAATAATGGGCTAATTAGCATTTTTGGGTGAACTATCCCTTTAAGCACCCTCTTAACTTAGAAGTTCCTCTTCTGTTCTAAAGATCACCAAACATTGATAAGCTCACCCTGTAGTCAATGGTTTGTTGGCTGATCTCAGTTTGAGGAGTCACATTTCTTCATCATTGTCAGGAAGGTGATTAAAACTATCCTGTAAGTAGCAATAAGTCGCTGTAAGTATTCTTAATAACTGTCTGTGTGTTTTAGGGTTTTGCTACATATACATACATATGGGTCCTAAATGAACATTTGCCAAATGCCAAAAGTGAGTAAAATTTGGCTTTGATGAGTAAATAAAATGCCAGCTTGCATGGAACTAACTGTAACATAATACATGGTTTAAATCTGACCCTTGCTGATGTAAGTGATCTGAGCTATTCAAATCAAAGACATGCAAACCGTCTACTAAAGAAAACATCTGTCACAACATGTCTTCTAACAGCTTTTAGCTCAGTGGAAAATGTACAATAAGATGTTTATCTAGGATGCCTGAAGTTTCTTTTCTTCTCCACAGCTTCATGTGGGAACACGTATGTGGAATATTCCTCACTTTGAGCTACCAAAACAAAATTATGAAACAAAATCAGCATGGAGTTTTATTTTTTCTATAGAAATCAAATAAATAGTTCAGCTGTCATAAAGATAAAAAAATGCATTTATGCATTTGGCGAACGCTTTTATCCAAAGTGACATTCCGTTCAAGCATTTTGTTAGTTCATGTATTCACTTTTGTGTCACTAAATGCTTTTATGTTCTTATAAAGTTCCCGAAAGGTGATTTTCAAAAATATGTTCTCTTTGTATTTTCTAATGTAATATAATTTCTCTGTTCTGCAGTTGTATTCAGTATGTAAGTGAATGACTGGTGTTGTCGTGCCTGCTGCTGGAACAGTTTTCCCGCAGAGTGGTTGGCTTCTGATATTTCTCTCCATCATTGATATGCAAGCTGCATCACACCGGCCCTACTGCAAGGTTAAGCAAGCGTGACGGCATGGCTTAGAAACCGGCTAGGAGTCTTTCTCTCTCTCTTTTTAGCCTGTGTATTTATACAGCTTTCCTTTTTTCATCTATCTCACACACAGACACACACACACACACACACACACACACACACACACACAGTCTGCATGGTCCTTTAGTTTTCCCATGTCACCTGTTTGAAATCCAACAAAGTTAAGTGGTTTCTGCATTATTGTCAGTTTGGTCTGTTTCTCTTGTATTTGTAAACTGGACTTCTGGTAAGCTTGAATGTTGTGAGTGCTTTTCCAGAGCTGCACATTTTCTCCCCGCTTTCATCGACAAGATAAGCTGGCATTTCCTGTTGTCGTGGAGAAAGGCATTGTTTCTCGAGGTGTTGTGCAGCATGCTTTGGACTAAACCTCAAACTCCTGGTTTTCATTCGTGTGTTCATATTTTTTTACCATCTACATGCCTGCTCAAGCCAAACACCATTTCTTGATATCTTTAACAACATTAAACACATGCACTTATAAGCTATGTTGTATTTTTGCCTTGTTTCTAGTTTCTGTAAAATTATTTCTATGTTCAGTTTTACTGACAGTTTATGATAAATAAGAAAGCAAGCCACATCCATATTAACATAGTAGAGCAGAAGAACTTGGGCCCAGTAGGCTGAGGAATGTAGCATTGTCCTGTCCACACAGGATATGAGTTTCATTCCTTAGACTTACTGTACCTAGATGGCCTTTTGCCCTCTAAAATTGTTTTTTCATAGCTCCATTTCACCAGCTTTAATCCAAAGGCTAAGCAGAAGCCCTGTTTTTTTAACATGTCCTTCCGAACAGACAGATTTTTTTTTTCAACTGACAACATTTTTGCACACAGTTTTAACCAATAATAAGAAATTCAGCCATGAACATGATTTGCATGATTAGAAATAAATTTACTTTATACTATTTACTTATTTAATATTTACACACAACCATTAAAAAGTTTGGGGTTAGTAAGAAAAAAAAAAAGTTTAAAAATAGTAAAAAAAAATATTACTGCTTGTACTGTATTTTTTTGTATCAAATAAATGCATCCTTGGTGAGCATAAGAAACTTCTTTAAAAAATATTGAAATATCTTACTGCCCCCAGAATTTTGAGTAAGGTAATGTGTATGTATAATGTATTATACCTTAAATCTCATAATATGCATTCTTGCATTCCTCTATAGTCTACTGGCCACACATAAAAGGTCATACATGTACAGGCATACATTTTCAAAGGATTAGTCAAAGATGTAAAGATGTTAGGCTCATGGACATTGTTTTGTTGAATAAAATCAGCTTGTAATCTGTCAGCTATTTTACAAATTATGGTTGCAAACATTTTTTTTTTCTGTTGTCCTCATGTCACTCACTCTCCCTCCTCCTCTTCAGCTCTCATCATTAATCATTTATGAGTTCCTGCTTTCCTGTCTCTCCTCTTCTACCCATCTATATTTGTCTTTCTGTGTTCATCCTCTGTTCTCTTTCACTGCACCTAATGTGTCAAAAACATACCCATAGACATATTTGTTCCAAATATGCAAACACACATACACAGACAGGATCACCCTCAAACTCCATTACTCCCCGCTCTCTAATGTCTCTTGGGAAATGAGTCTGTCTGCATGTAGCGAGTGTATGGCAACCAATGAGAATGTTGTCAGTTCATCTGCAGAGCAGGGAAGAGCGCTGTGTTGATGGGATGAGGGCACAGCATGAGGTTAACGACACGCACTGAGACTATGTGCCCATCTCACCTCTCTTCTCTTCTGTCATTATTATCTCTTTATACCATTTCTCATATTGATTATATATCTAGTATCTTGAGTTGTAGTGAGCAATTATTATATCATGTTATTATTTGATTTACCTGGTCATTTTATTGCACAAAATAAGTGCATATGTAGTTGTGAAAGTTATTTATTCAGGTTTATGTGTGTGTGTTAATTAATGTTTTGATCAATGGACCAAAATTAGCTTCTGAAAACTGTCTTAAACAGTGGTTATTTGTATTTTCATTTTACATATAAACAATGACGTATATATTTTTTTTTTTTTTTGTTGTTGTTGTTTTATGTTATTTTATTACTGTTTCAAATTTCAAATTGTTTGTTGGTTGTTACATTTCCTATTGTTATATTTCTTTAATTAATCATGTTAGCTAAAGCAGGCATGATCACTGCCCATACTGAAATTAAACTTCATCATGCAACTTAACCACACTATATTATATGAATAATAGCTCAAATTGTGTGGCTTGTTGAGGAGTGCTGTCAATTTTCATAGCGATATATACCTGGCTAAGTGATTTTCATCTGGCAGGTAATAAAAGGAGTGAAAAAATTCTATATAGACTTTGGAGGACGAAGCCCTTTTGGCAATGAGCAGTAAGCAATCATGAAGAACACCCTAACGACCAATAACAGTACCCTGGCAGTCATCAACAACACTGTATAGCAGGAAAATATAAAAATTTAGTTCATCCTAAAACTGGTGAAGTATCCCTGTGACTCTTGAAACCTGGTTTCTTTTCCCTTCTAGTCGGAAGATTTTGGATTTTGCTCATTTGTGGAAAAAGAGCACAGCTGAAAAGTTCCTGGTCTCAGCGATATATACCTGGCTAAGTGATTTTCATCTGGCAGGTAATAAAAGGAGTGAAAAAATTCTATATAGACTTTGGAGGAGGAAGCCTTTTTGGCAATGAGCAGTAAGCAATCATGAAGAACACCCTAACGACCAATAACAGTACCCTGGCAGTCATCAACAACACTGTATAGCAGGAAAATATAAAAATTTAGTTCATCCTAAAACTTGTGAAGTATCCCTGTGACTCTTGAAACCTGGTTTCTTTTCCCTTCTAGTCGTAAGATTTTGGATTTTGCTCATTTGTGGAAAAAGAGGGCACAGCTGAAAAGTTCCTGGTCTCTCCATCTCTTTTCTATTCTTTGTCATTAGAATATGAAAGTTTGCTGAAAATCTCAGGAGGATTGATTCTCAGGAGCTCAGGGCCCCCGTCATTCCTCCAACCTCCAGATCTCCTCCCTCAATCTCTCTTGTGTTTGATCTTGGTTTGCCAATGTTCCTACACTCCTCTGTCATTATTCCACTTCAGCCCTTTCTTCTCTTGTACAAACACGGTCTTCTACACTGCGGTTAATGTTCTTCATATATTTTACTTATTTTTGTTTTGTTTGAGTGTATATGCATTCTCTGAATATTTGGAGGTTGTTCAGTGCATTGAGTGTTGTTTCTACAGAAATAAGCAGGAGAGTGAATATTTTGTCTGCATGTGATAAAATTTAATATTTTGTCTCTCTGAAATCATAAAATTTAATAGGATGCCGCTGAACAGTGCTGACTCAGGTTCACTCACACATTTATGGAGGATACTCAAAAGATTCAAAAAATCATGTGCTTTACTATATGGACTTTTTACCAGTATAAAAAAAAAATCAAACATCATGGCAAAGATATGAAACTATTGAAAATATCCATTTCAGACTGTAAAGTGAAAGTGAAATGGTGAACTGAAGAGTAATGGAGAACTGAGCTCTCAGTGAACCCAATGTTTGCCTAAAGTTTGTCTTGATGATGATCTCCAAACTGGGACTCATTTGAGTTGCTTTATTAAAATCACCTATGGGTATCTTAACTATATGTGAGGATACACAGATAGACCATAAAGACATGGTTTCAATTAAAGGGATAGTGCATCCCTTTAATTGAAAATTATTTTCAATTAAATTAAAATCATTTTAATTGAAGTGCATCCCACCCCCCCTCCTTTTAAAAGTGAAAGTGACGTGACATGTGGCCAAGTATGGTGACCCATACTCAGAATTAGTGCTCTGCATTTACCCATCCAAAGTGCACACACACAGCAGTGAACACACACAAACCGTGAACACACACCCAGAGCAGTGGGCAGCCATTTATGCTGCGGCGCCCGGGGAGCAGTTGGGGGATCGGTGCCTTGCTCAAGGGCACCTCAGTCATGGTATTGAAGGTGGGAGAGAGCACTGTACATTCACTCCCCCCCACCTACAATCCCTGCCGGTACGAGACTCGAACCCACAACCTTTGGGTTATGAGTCCGACTCTCTAACCGTTAGGCCACAACTTCCCCTTTTAATGAAAGTGAATGGTGACCAGGGGCTAAAAATGACAAAAAGCACCATAAAGTACCCTGAGTCTGTGTATGACTATTCTTCTAAAGCCATATAATAATGTGGAACAGATTAAAATTCAAGTCATTATTCAATGAAAATCTTTGTCTCTGCTGTAACACTCAAATCTCATTTGTCCAACATTGGAAATGCACATGCAGTTCTGAACATTTTCAGATTTGGTGGATTAACTTAAATGTCAGTCTTTTTCTCTCACAAACCTATGAAATGGCTTCAGGTGAGTTTACTTCATATTGCATGGATATTATTATTTTTTGGTGATTTTTGTCATCTTTGGAGATGTGTCTCACCAAAGAAAGAACAATATGAGAATGAATTCCAGAAGTTTGCCATTTCAGAGAGGCCGTGATAATTGTTCCTCATGAACCATTTTAAGAAGGTCTAAAATAAACTGCTTTCAAAATATGGCTTTCCAAAAAAAAAGGTCTCTTGGCTCAACTTGCCCCCAGTGAGAGGTAAATTAAGCCTAGGGAGAGGGTAAGTTTAGCCACATGGAGTTAAACTGTGCCACTGATTATGCTGAATTAAAATAAAGGATCAAAGGAAGAGAAATTCAATAAAAATGACTTCTTAAAACATATGTGTGAGCCTTGTGATGGAATGGCCGTTCATCCAGGGAGTTTCCTTACCTGTGGCTCAAGACGCTGCATTAAGGTTGTCTAGAAAGAAGGGGTGGCTCAACTTCCCCGTAGGCTCAAATCACCCTGCTCTCATATATATATATATATGTATGTATATATAATGCTATTATAAAGGTGGTTTCCGTATCTCTTTGCAGGTTAGCTCTGTATGTGTACGAATATCTGCTACATGTGGGAGCTCAGAAATCAGCACAGACCTTCCTGTCAGAGGTAGGTGAACTACCTTTTTGCATTTTCACTAAGACCTCTATGACTGTCACTAAAATGCTTCTAAACACTAATCTAAGATGCTGTAGTTTTAGGATATAATATTTACATGAAACCCTCACTGTTGTCTGATCAAGGCTGTTTGCTTAATGGCAATCTCATGGAGATGGTCTGTAAGTTTATTTACACGGATTTTCATAGAACAAAGTGTTTACTTGCTCTGCTCTTTAAATTAATGTGGTTTATCTTCAACAAGAAGTTTTATTCCCAGTACACAGAGTGGACAATGAGACCTGTTTGCACTGCAGCCACAATTCATCAGACAGCAAGCAATATGTTTTAACTTCCTTCTGAAGGGTCTGTATCAGAGACACTCAATGTTAATGGCTTGTCATCCTCTCAAGCTGTGTTTGGGGAAGAGATGTTTATATCTTTGTCCACAACAGCTCACTTGCTGATGACATGATCACTGACAAGATACAACTGAGTAAATGCAGATGCAGATGAGTGCTGTAGCTCTTGAGTCAAGTAAATATTTGCGAATGACAGAGGAATAAGATCAGATAAATACTGGAACAGAGCAAAGAGAGAGGAGGAATGACAGAGAAAGAGGCTGGCACAATCACAGAGGTAAAAACACAAAGGCTGACCCACCACTCAGAAGTGAACATCAACAAGCCAGACACTGCTGTCTCTGTGACTCAGACCAGTCTCTGTGACTAAGCCAGCCACCCCGTCCATTGTGGCCGGTTTCCTTTGCGACTCCTGTCTTTTGCCACCCTGCTCATGTAACCAGTTGACGCTGGACTTGATCCCAAAAATAGCCGTCGCTTTCACAGCAATGTATTTAGATAATTTTGGGCACACCCATGTTGTTTATGGTGGCTGTCGTCAGCGCTTTAATGTCGGTAAACCCATCTCACATGGCCAGTGACTGAAACTGATGATCTCATCAAGACTGATGGTGTTTTCTGTTCCTGTTTAGTCTATTGATAAAGAGTTAAGGATGAGAATGGAGAGGGGTGTGCAGAAGGTTTAGTGATAACTAACCTTCGCTAAACACAGCCTTTTATTGATCACAGCCTGTTCCTACCTTAGAAACTGTTGCCATCCGCCATATTATCAGAGAAGCATTTACTATACTGTATTTTCAAATCTGTGGATTTCCTGTTTTTTGATAGTATTGAAGACTGTTTTCCAGAAATTATCCAACAATATAATAATGGGTTTTCCAAAAAAATCCTCTATTGTGTGGTGTCATTATGATTATTTAACTGCTCCTGATCGAGACAGAGTGTCCCCAATCTCAAATCATATTTGATATTTACGACTCTTGATCGGGCTGCCTTTGACGTGATACCCGCGATAGCCAATGAGAGCGAGCTAGCGTCACCTACCAGATGTTGCATGCTTCTACATAATTGTCTTCATGTCTGTGGTCTCCCATGGTATTAAAATTGGTTAAGATTTGAAAATTGTCTAGTGTGTCCCAGGCCTTACACAGAAAACAAGACACGGCAACTGATCGAAAACAAACCTAAACATGAACAAACAAACTGAAAACATGACACCATAGTGTCTTAAAATCTTCAATTCTTTTCGATGACGTATTCTGCCATAGAGGGCAGAGCTTAGTGAAGTGTCAATTGGTTAATATAATTTTTATTAATGAGGTCATAGACTGAGTCACACTGAGACTGTTTCAAACAGATGCCAAGTAACAGTTTTATGTCTCAGATTTATTCTGGGCACCATGTTTGACTGAAAGTTCAGCTCTCCATGGCAGAATTTGCCCTTAATGATGTTTAAATCACAAAGGGAGCACAGGTCGACTTGTCACTGAATCTTTATAACTCTTCCTTTGTTCTCTGTTTAACTTGGCAGATCCGATGGGAGAAGAACATAACATTAGGAGAGCCGCCAGGGTTCTTACACTCATGGTGGTGGTAAGAAACTGTGCTAGAAAATGCAAAAGTTTCTTTAGCACTATTTGGACGGGATTAGTGTGCTAAAAATGTTTGAGTTATAATTATTAAGATAGGAATGATGGATTCATGGGATCTCGAGTTAAAGTGTCACGAATTTTCCTTCAAATTTTCCTTGATCTTTTGACATGTAAGAGTTAATTGCACTATAAAAAAACATTCTGTAAGTTTCAGAGCTCAAAACTTCCTTGTTAGTCCAAAAACAGCTTTTATTGAAACCACGCTCAGAAAATGACTTAAGTTTTTGTCACATCATAACGCCTCTGCAGCATCAGAACAATGCATACTAGAAGGAAAGAAGAGCACACGGTAAAAGGACTAAAAATAATAATACCTTCCAAAGGATCCTGCAAATGAGCTGCTTCTTTCTGGAAAGAGGATGAATCCTTTACTGCTCCTGCCTTGGTTACTACGGCAACGACAAACAAAACATTTGTTTGTTTTTGGTTATCATCATCTCTTTGGTTATTGTGTCAAAAACAGCTCACGGTCTGGGAATATAAAAAGCTGAATGTGTATCAGTATATTATATCTGTGAAATGGTCAAAAATTTGTGAAATTTGTGAAATTTGCTTATGCTGTGGGGGTGGGGGGTATTATTTAAACGTGTATGTTCCCAGAATAAAACTGAGGACTGTAATTGAGTAATTTGAGGGAGTTCAGAAACAGAGCTGATATAAAGAAAAACTCTATTTAGAATGGACTTTGTGCTTTGTAACGTTGCAGATCTTTTTCATGCACAAACAGCAACAAAAGTAAACTGAAATGAAAGGTGCAATAGGTGATTATTAATCATTAAGTTAAGTGGTCTAAATGTAATTATATGTATTTATATATTCTGTGGAAGGCGAAGGACCAAGAAATGTTCGTCCAATCAAAATGTTCGGTCCCATAGATATGTATACGTAGATACCTCATTAACGCCATATTGAAGGGGCCAACTTGACATCATTCACCATAATAATTAATGAATATTCGAAGATGCCACAATCCTTACATATCTAGGTTCCGGCGGTTTTTACAACCATCGACTCTACAGGATTGTGGCATCTTCGAATATTCATTGCTTATTATGGTGAATGACCTCAAGTTGACCGTTGCAAGATTGGCAGACGCGTCTACATGCTTGGAGCTGTCAAATGAGGCATCTACCTATACATATCTGTGGGTTTTCCTACCTGCCTGTTAACATATGTATTTGCATACCTCTGCGCACCCTGTTCGCGCAGACAGGGTATTGTAGTACTGTTACTAACTGTACTATAAAGTTTTCTCACCGGTGAATGACACATGATGTATTGTAGTAATGTTGTCTCTGGTCGTCTGGTCTGTGTGCGTTCATACGTTCAGGAGGCATGGCTTTGGACGGCGATTTGCAGGGAGGGTGGGATGTTTACTTTTAGTGCTATCAGGCTAAAGTTAGCATTTACCAAGATGTCCTACTGCACCTTTAAGCCAGTACTAAATTAAAATGAAAATGTAATGTAAAAAAAAAACTTAATAGGACCCTTTAATACTAAGGTTTTTATATTCTGGATATGTACATTATGGGAGATCATGTTGTCTGGATATGTGCAACACAAAATGTTTGATCATTTTTTATCAATTTAATGCATTTTTGCTGAATAAAATTTAGTTTATTTAAAAAAAAAAACCCAAGGGAACACCAGAGGAACCCAGAAACAGAGGAACCCCGAGTTAGTTATATTAGATGCTCTATAATTTTTTACGAAGTTAGTGCAAAAACAGTCATTTTTGATTCTGATGGTATAAAAATATCAAAATTCATTTGTGAAACAAACATTTTCTCAGGGAAAACTAATCCCATCCTAATAGGGCTGTAATTAACTGAAGATATTCATTCTGAGACTGCAGTAACAGTCCTTTTTATATTATATTGTACATCTTTTATTGCAGTGTTTTCTGGGACCTCTACTGTGCTGCTCCTGAGAGGAGAGAAACATGTGAGCATTCAAGTGAAGCCAAAGCTTTGCATGACTACGTGAGTATAAATATGTGTTCACTTGATAACCATGATTTTGTGCAGTAACCACGTTTTTATTGGCTGCTGAAAGCATGAAACCAGTTTTTAAAGACAAATTAAGGAGACATTAAAACCACTAATAAACCAATGAATACATTTTAGTGTTTTGTACTATAAACAAAACCAGTATGAAACCACTGACCTGCAGAACAGCAGTTACAGCTAGTCTCTGCAGAAACCTTGCAGGATAATTGTGAGTGAGTGTACAGCTCATAGAAGGAGAGATAAGGTGAGCAGGAGGGGAATGGAAAGAGGGAAGGATGATAAATTAGTGGTCTGCGCTAGAGGCATTAGCAATGATGTCATATACATAGAGGGAGGGGGACACCTTGACCTATTCTGAGTATGAAAGAGAGAGAGAGAGGGGAAGCAATAGGAAAGCATATGAGTGAGCAACAGAGTGTGATTAAATTAAAGGTTTGTCTACAAGAAATATTGACCCATTTGGATTAGGTCAAACTCAACATAATAGCCTCACAGTTCCTCAAAATCCTTGATTAAAACCACGACTCCACCTACAAGTTAGGTACCTGTTTGTCTGCCACAAATTATATAGACCTCACAACCAGAATCACCAAGATTAAATGCTAACCAGCCACAGCTCATTACAGTAAAAACCTCTGCTTTCAGGTCATGCTTCAATCATGTGAAGTGCCACACTGATTCTCATTCATGCATGAAATGTTAATTTAAAGGCATGTCGTTAAATCAAAAAATACTTTAAAGCGATCTATGGTCGTGGCTACATTGTGTTTAGCAAATTTCATTAAAGTATAAGCCGTCAGTCATATTTCCAGAGGTATTTTCATCTTAAAGGGGTCATATGATGCTTTTTTAAAGATCATTATTTTGTGTATTTGGTGTAACAGAATATGTTGACATGCTTTAATGTTCCAAAAACACATTATTTTTCAAATACTGTACATTATTGTAGGTCCTCTATGCCCCGCCTCTCTCAAACGCTTCGTTTTCTA